TTTTCACGGGGGGTGGGGAGGCAATAGGGCATAAATATTTAATATTCAGTACCTATGTCCTATAGGTACACATATATACTCATATTATTATATAAGTACATGATGTATCGTGAACAAAATTTGGTCTCAGTGAGGGGGGGATTATCCGAGTATGACCACCAGGGGCGGACCTGAAGCTTGTTTAAGGAGGTGGCGAGTAAGAATATTTTTGAGTGATATATAAAGTACAATGAACATTTTATTTTTATATTAATTACCTAATAATTAACTTATATGAGTTCATGTGAGAATCCAAGTTCAGTATAAATACTCTGAACAAACATTGTTTAACAATTTTACTATTGTAATTAAAATGATTAATTAAATAATCTTAGTTACACTAGTTACAGTTTATAAATCTAACTATTTTGAGTAGATACGCATAAATATTTAAGATCACGTTTTAAATCCAAAAGTATAAAACTTTAAGTTTGGCATGAATGCAGTTCAGCTCCCAAGCGTTTTTGAGTTTTTTCTTCAAAATGAGTGTTTTGAATTCTTAATTTGATGGTACTTTCAAATAAAAACGCTCAAAGTTAATTTTTAAGTTATGGTAAAATTTTTTTTTTAATTTCTTAAATTAGTCAATTTTACAATGTAGATAATACGGTGGGGTCACTTCCAATCTTTAATTAAGATATTTTTGAGCTTTCATTTCACTGCATTTAATGCGAGCAATGCATTTGCCACCATAAGCGCTAAGAAGGCCGATTCTTTAAATAATTCTATGTAGAGGTATCATACGCATTAAAACTTAGGAACGAATCTAGCTTACCTACTTCCCAAACGATTTTTTGGAATATATTATTTAGGAAATGTTAGTACTTAATTTTATGCTCAATGTGTTGGTGACATCAGAATTTCTACACCGTATTATCTAAATCGTGAAATTAACAAATTAAAACAATTTTTTTTTAAATCCCAAGGGAGGGTTATAATCGCCACGTCACCCTCCCCCTCCCGTAAATCAGCCCCTATGCCCTCTCACTCCCTAGATAGGTACACTACTGCGATATAGACTGGCTATATAACAAATTAGAAACACTTATCTATGTATATTCCCTATTTACATATAGGTATTTTAGTCAGTCTTAAATCTGTGCAAAATTGGAAAGATGTTGGTCGAATATACTAAACAAAATTTAATTTTAAAACAGTTGAATTAACATATTTTTATTATCATAAAAGCTCGTCGAACCAATTCGAATATTACCTGTAGTCTGTAGACACTAAACAACCCGGGATGCGGGAACTTGCAATTCGGTAATCGGAAACCAACTCGCGTAGGCGTCCACTGTTTTCATACCAAAAGTCATTAGCAAATGTTGAAATGTTTCTACATTCTACCATCGGCCATATTATGTTATCATGTTATATTAATAATAAAAATCATTAACATGAATAATAAATTATGGTTAACACATTTAGGGCCGTTCTTACAATGTCCGGTTAAAGTTAACCGACACTTAACCGGCCAAATTCTGCCGGTAATAAAATTTGTTATCAGACGGTTAGTGTTAACCGACACTTTATCGGACATTGTAAGAACGGCCCTTACACATGTTAGATTACCAATTCTAAAATGTATTATAAATAAGTATTATCTATTATGATTTATGATTATAATAGATCGGAAACCAGTTAATAGCAAACAGGCAACTGCACGCAGATTTGGTCTTAAGAAGTAAGAACTAGGAAGCATTTTGTCGGATAATCTGAACGTTATCAAATGCGGCAATACATAATTTATAGCTCATAGGTATACTACACAGCAGCACTGCAGCAAAATCTATCAAGAATAAGTCAGTGACTTCATATCTTTAATCGTTCTACCTTTGAATTTCTATTTTCTCAGCTATCCTGGGCCTTTTTATGCTACTATAATAGTACCTACCTATATCTATATTTATACATAGGTCTCATCATTGCATAACATAACATGAATATTGAATACCAAAAAACTATTAAAAAGTGTAAGTGTATTCCGTGGTATAAAGTATAGATTTTAGTATAAATAGGCGTAATCTGAGAGGCTAAGGGGAAACTCTCCCTATATAAAATAGTGTAGTAATTTTGTCACCTACTATATTTATAATTGAGATAATAATAATGCAATTGTATCGGTAAAAATAGTTAGTACAATTTACATACATTTACGGATCTCACTTATATTATTATAATATATTTCAGTACAGTACTAAATTGTATAAATTGACTTGCATCACCTTTTTAACAAAGTAATGGTGTCTAAGTCATTAAACTACCTACATAGTAAAAACTAAAAACCACATAACCCACACCATTAGATAAGAAACAAGAATTAGTAAGCAAATTTTAAACATATAAGAAATTTTACAGATAATATTAATCATTATTATAATTACAAAGTACCTAGTTAATTAATAGTTATTAATTAAAATTATCTTTTTATTATAGGTATTATTATTCACAATTCACACACTTCACAATGAAAATTTAAAAATCAATACAATAATTAATAAGTAGCCATACAACAATAATTTTCAAAAATTGGCTACTCCAAACAATATGTTTAATCCATGGGAAAAATTCCGATTATTCATGATTAATTTTGCTGATTTCGATAATGGGCGAAGCAAGTTTGCATATTTTCCAATTGAATGTTGTTTTTCTATTTGTAGGCTATCATACCTGAAAGGTAATTTTTAATTTTATCTTCAATTTATAAACTTTTATCTATAAATGCTAGGATAACCATAAAAAAAAACGCTGACTTTTTATTTTAACCTAATTGGTTATTCGCCTTTTTTTATTTCACTGAATATAATATAATTAGTATGGATCTATGAAACTAAAAAATAAAAATTAATTGATTTCAGTAATGATTTACAAGAGGGGGTTTAAGAGTGGAGCCATATTTATCCAATGCTAATAATTGTACATCTACAAAATAATACATATACTAGATACCGATCATCTAAGTATTAATATCTAAATATAATAATCATTAATCAATGTAATACTATAAAATATAAATAATAATACAACTATACAAGTCAATATTTTTTGAATTACTTTTTCAAAATGTTTAACTGTCAGTTTAAAAACTACTCTTATAAACGATGATGCCAAACTAATTAAGTGCAATCGATACATTTTTTAGCTTCAGGATCTGTTAATAAATCATAGTTCAACTATAGTTAGCACTTAGCACAGCATTTGCTTGGTATGCAAAATAGTACCTATCTCAACATTGACTTACTGTTACCTAACTTATACAAACTCAAATTGGTGAAATTGTGGCGGTATAAATGCAACTTTTTTCGTGTAGGTACTTATGTATTTCACCCGTTCCTGTTTATAAATTAAAAAAAAAAAAAAAAAAAGGTACTTATGTATCTACACTACCCTAACACTACCCTAACGTAAAATACTACCTACCAAAATCTGTACCCGTGTATTAATCTACCAGGAACGATGTATCATTCATTCCTTCCCATACTAATTAATTAAGATGTATTAAAGTAAAATTTACTTAATAATGTATTGCTAGTAATCATATCATTATTAAGTATTTTAAAATGTCATGTTGCTCCTACGTAATCACAAAAAAAGTAAATTATTGTTGTCTTGGTGGATATTTACCAGTTATCATAATGGGTACCTATTACAGTTGTATAGACCGTTAATGTTGTTTTTTGTAAATCGTAATGACCCAAGCACAACATAAAGACATTTTCCCGTAATAAAATGAAATAAGTATATAACATTTATAAGAATATGACACATATGTCAATATGTCATATTTTCCGAAAGTTAACAAATAACAATTTACCAGTAAGTAGCATATACTAAACCAACAATGTAGAAGTATGTAGCATATTAGCATAGATTAATATTAATATCTATCTTTTTTCCTAATAAAAAAATATATGGAGTAATTAATAAATCCATGTTTGCCCAATAAGCTCGTGAATATTTTATAAAAATGTGGAAAATTATCAACACTCTTTCATTCAGTACTGCATGTAATGAAAGCATCTTTTCCTATCTCAGAAGAGTGAAGTTTTATCTCAGGTTAACTAAAGGTAATGAACGCTTAAATTACTTAAACTTGGTAATTCAAGACTACCTATACCCATTAACCTATCTGGTGAAAAAAAGAGGATGGAAAAAATGTTCCTTCAACAATCCAGTGGATGTATATTTGCTATGATTAAAAATAGAAAATATCAATTAAAATAATAATTGTTTAAGCTGTTAAAACTTAAAACTAAATGTATTAATTTAATGTCCCAATCATGGGCCACTAAATCATGTTTAAGGGACTATTATCACTAGTTATTCAATAAATGTTTAGTGATTGTTCATGCAACCCGGCGTGGCACTAATGTTATTATTTAGTGAATTGTTTCTTAAACTATTATTAGTTTTCCGCGAGGACCAAAATGCTTTTTAAAATATTTCTGGACTTCTATACCTCGGTAGTTAGAATTGGTAAACTGAAAATAATCTTTTATATGTATATGTACAAAAAAATGTATTTAATTATATTTAGTAGGTACATATTATAATATACCTAGGTGACAAGACTTTCGCACGTTTCCGAAAAGAAACGGAGGACGTTCGAAATTTTTTTTTAGAAAAAACCGGTCTAGTAGAGAATACTTCTCGAAAATAGTATAACATTATAATCAAATATGCTCGTCGTCGTCATATGTTGCGGTGTGCCCTCGTTATCGTGACGACGAGTACGTAAACCGGTCAACGGTTTTGTGGGTCAATTGGCGACGGGTCCCGCGCGTGGAATGCATCACGCCTTCTCTCTACAACCCGGTAACCGGTGATCGCGAAAACCGACTACCGCTCGCGGCGTCCAGACGGATCGACGCACTATTATTATAGTATCGCGGTCGACGACGCTGTCGCTATCACCACTGCCGCCACTGGTCAGTGTCTTTTTAGAAGCCACCACGCGTACGATGAACGCTCCGCGATCGGTTCCGGGTTCGCTAGCGTCGGTTCTCGGGTTCGCTCTCGTATTGGTCGTCTCCGTCGCCGAGTGCGATCCGGCTGGACCCGATGCGGCCGCGCTGCAGACGACGGAGGCCACCGGGCCGGCCGAAGGTCGTGGACACTTCAAGAAGATGATGTTGAACCCGTACATGCTGATACCTCAGTTGATCGCGCTGGGCTTCGCTCCGATCGTTCTGGCCAACCTCAAGATGATGGTCATGTCGGCGCTGATGATCAACAACATGGCCCTGAACGCGGCCATTTTCATGACCGTCCGGAACATGGTGTTTGGTCCGCGGCCCAAGGTCAAGTACGTCAACCACGGTTATCACGACCACCAGAACCAACAACATCATCATCATAGCCAAAAAGACGGCGATCATCCACACCATGAACACTACGAAGATGATGGTGTCCAAAGTCTCCACGCCGGACAGACAGAGCAACAGCCGCCCCAGCACCTGCACGCGTCTTCGAGACGGACGCAAACGCGCACAGACCGCCGCCGCAGGACGACGAATAAATCCATCGCTGCTTCGTTGCGACGACGACCGACTCCTCCACCGCCGTTTACGCAGCCCATAGTTTAAAAACCCTGTATTATTTATTAATTTATTTTTTTTCTCGCCTTTTAATTATTTTTACTATTGTGTAAATATCGACTAGTCCATTTAATTAATTATTTTATTTTAGAATTTTATTCGTTCGGCCGATTCAAAGGCCTGCAGAGGCCTTATATTATATTATAATGTATATAATACTCAAATGCACACTGCACATATTTTGCCAGGTTGTATAAAAAATCACTAAACATTAATTAATGAATCAATAATATCAGCTAGGTACGTTATCGTATATAACATATTGGTAGGTATCGGTCCATTAAACATGATTTAGTGGCCCGCGATAGGTTCATTGAACTTTGGTGATCCTGATCCTTGAGAATATTTATTTATTTTTTATGCAACTCGTCAATAGTTCAATATCTCTGTATGTAATTATGTAAATACTAATTATATATGGCCAGGTATTAATAAGCACCAGATAAGAAATGCCAAATAGACGTGCTTACATACTTAACATTATTCAGCGGTAGCTTCATATACCTATAAGACATTAATACATGGGACACGAAATCTATAATCTGTATATTATAATATATATTATGTAAGGAACATGCTTGTATATTATTTCATATCGTACCACTGTTCGTCATTATGCGCGGATGTATACACCGTGTCTTAAGCTTAGCGAGAAAAGGGCCAATTATATTATCAACATCGAGTTAATGTTTTTAGATATTATCTACCTTAGTAGAAAAAATTCAATATGTTTAAAACAATTAAACAGATGAAATCCGTTTTCTTAAAACTAATACAAACGCACTTTTCCTTGTAAGTAGGTACTATAAAAATAAGTATTAATCTATATACTATAGGTACGAAAGGGTGAGTATGTTTGCCAAAAATAGGTTTAAAATTATTTAATTTTTGTATAAACCTATTATACCTTAATATAATAGAAAATATGTATAGTATTATTTATTAGTATACAATTAGTACATGTACTTATAAAATTTATCATTTTATACAAAAATACGTTTGAGTATTAGTATGTCAACGGGATACCGTATACAGTGTAAACGGTTAATAATTATTATCCGTAGGGTATGTATGTGTATACCTATAATAGGTAAATAATAATTATTAATATAATTTTTATAATATGTTATTGACTTAGGTCGTGTATGTATAGGTAATCGTATATTATAATATGTATGTTACAGTTACAGTCATAAATAAATTAAATATGATATTTATCAAACGTTGTTACTTGTTTGTATTTTGTTATGAGACATAGGTACGAACACCAATGGCAATATCAATATTTACCTATAATATCCCTATTAAGTCTCGGGTCTCCCAAATTTGAAATATTTTAGTAGATTGTGCTTATGGGAGGCTTATTTTGTACCTACATAATACAAATTTTAACTTTTGAATCAGCTTCTTTTGTCCTGACCTTTGCATTTTTTTTTTTTTATTGATCATTAAATATATCGACATCTAGGTCATTAGTACATTGGTTTTGTGTTAGGTTAGGTGTTATTTACATTATTATTATTTGTTAATTAAATTATACAATTGCATTTTTTGAAGAATAAAATTAAGTTGTTTGTGTCCTGTACTCCTGTGGGTGAAAAAAAAGTTGAGCGCTGAATCATACATATTAATGATTCAGAGCAGAAGAGAGGGGGCATAAATTATAACGACCCGGATAAGCCCATGCACTCTTAGGCGTAGGCACCAAAGATAAATTTATAAATCGTAATAAGTTGTGTATTAATTAGTATATAAGCAAAATACTACAAAACATTTATTTGAAAGTAAATTATAATAATTCTTGTGTCATTTGTCGTTATTGTATCCCCATTAGGATGTATGTACCTATAGGTAGGTACTTGGGAAGGCCACTGAAAAGCTAAGTAGAAGACTTAAAAATTGAATTGGAAAAGAAGAGTTTTGAGCTTGGCACGCACTCGAAATTATGGTCGAGATATGTCAGAAAAACTGAGGTAAGATGTCTTAATGATTATAGATGTATTTCAACGTTCTCGCAGTTTTTCTGTTCTCGTTTCACTCGGAATCACAAATGAATAGAACGTTTCGAACAACGTATAAAATAAACATAAAGATACACGCGTATAGGTCATGATGACCCGCCGTGCGTTGTGATTATAGTATTATACACACGCGAAATGGCATTCTAAACATATCGTATTTTATTATAGGTAGGTATTATTATACGGAGAAAGTGAGTTAACGCATTTTCCAAGTTTCACTGGAACGTTGAGTATTATGACGGAGGAATAATATATACATACATAATATACTACCTATACGATCGCGAGATAAAATGATATGCACGAAGTCAATTTAACAGCCCATCCTAAATGAAAAGAAAAAAAACCTGTTGCGAGTATAAATTGAATCTAGTCAATTTGCCTATAGCTACCTAATATCTATACAATAGGTATAATATTTTGTATAGGTAGGTACCTACGTAGTTTAAGAGGTGGGGGACGGTTAGTCACGTGCGCTTTTCTGTTTTTAAATGGTCTTCAAAAATATGTTTATCACAGCGAAGTCCCGATTTAATGCACGTCCGTTCCAATACAGTCAATGGGAATATCATTATTCATTACATTAAACTACATATTATTATATTATATATAACACGCACTTAAATTATAAATTTAGGGTGACTACAGACTAGAACATTCACAATAGATCTAACTGTTTAACATGTACACTGTATAGGTGGTATAAGTAATAAGTGTTAGTAACCTACCTATATAAGTTATAATATAGATATTCTACAAATGTATTATGTATCATTATGTATAATGTATATTGTTATCCTTAGTGCTTACTGCTTATACAGTTATAACTACCTGCCACCTATATAATACAAGGTGTTTTTTAAGAATGCTTATCCTATTTTTATTCTTAAATTATGAAAATATTCAAAATCTGATTTATATCAATTAAATCAGAATATCAGAAGGTTGTATTTTCAAGCTTTTTGACCCGACAAATAAAATGTTATTGACATTTATAGAAAAAAAACTTAAAACTGAGAATGTCCGTAAACAGCTCAAAATGAGTTAAACTATTTTGAAAATTTTATCAAGTATAAGAATTGATACAATAAACTTATGGTGTAAATATCAAGTATCTCCAGTGATTTGTTTTTGAATAACAGCAAAATAAGAAAATCGCTACATGAGAAATCGAGCGAAGTTTCCAATCTTGTAAAAATTTGAACTTTAAACATTAAAATTGCATTTGACTTTCAGGTAAACATTTTTTTTTTAGATAAAAGTAGATAATAATTTATGAGGAATCTTGAATTCTTGAACTAAATTTTCAAATCTTAGATTAAAAAGAAAAAAGGTGCTCTGCTGTACAGTAGGTTACAAGTGAGTGGCTGTATAATTGATGATATTAATCTTGAATTCAATGATATAATATCATTGTATAAGAAAAACGATTCTGAGCGGAGACGGTATGTCAGTCTAGGTATAAGGCATATTATATACTTATCCATGGTATTAAAAAAAAATTGACCTATTATAGGTACCTATAATAAATTCCAAATTAATCATATCACAATATCCATTAGGTACTTATAACGCGTTATACATCAACAACAAACCCTGATACTGTCATAGATATTAGATATATAATAGTGTACTTTAGAAATTTCAAGTACCCACGAATAATACTATACAATCACAACGAAATAACTAAAATAGTTATTCTAGGTTTTTTTTTATGTAATTTCATCCAAATTTGAACTTAAAATGACTATAAAAATAAACTGTATGTATTTTTTAGATTTTTCCGTAACAGAATTAATTACTTACGTGGAATCTTGTTTTAAATTTTCAATCTTTAGGTATAAAAGTTGAACATTTTATAAATTTTTAACTACAAAATAATTATTTAATTTTAAGTTTGATAATTTTTGTCAAAATTCGATCTTTAAATGCTTATGAAAAAAATTGTGCCTATGTATTTTAAATATTTTTCAACTGATATTGTAACAATATATCAGGAGCCTTGTATTACATTTTTACACTTTTGGTACAAGTGGTACAACAAATAAAACTTTATTGATATTTATAGAAAAAAAAACTAAAAAATTGAAAACTGAAATTCTCCGTTAACAACTCAAAAAGAGTCAAAATATTTCAAAATTGTGTAGTGTATAGGAAATGCTAGGTAAGCGGAAAAAATGAACACGGAAAAAAAACCCACGGAAAAAAAAAACCCCAAAAAAAATCCAACGGAAAAAACCCAAAAATTAAAAAAACCCACGGAAAAAAACCCACGAAAATAAAAGTGTGTTTTATATTATTTTGTTGATTAACTCAAATACCTATCATAATACAATCACATAGTTATTTTATTTTGTGATAAGACAGTACATAATATTCAAACTATAAATATAATAATTAACAAATGTCTTAAGTTATGATATCTTCACAATCAAGCCCGGATTAAGGATCAATTGGGCCCCGGGACACCATACACTTAGTGGACCCCCTTTCAACTTTAACTTCAAAATAATTGTATCATTACATATTAAAGACTTTATATTATTGTATAATTTTTTACTATACAAAAATAAAAAAATATAAAGGGTGTATCTTAAGTCATTGTATACTGTTTTTTTTAACAATTAGGTATAATGGATCGATGATATGGAATTTCGTTAAAACAAAAAAAAGACAATCATTTCTTTATTTTTAACAGGCAATTTATTCTATAACATATTCAACATTTTTAAACACGCAGTTGTAAAAATAATAAAATCAACTTTATTTTTTCAAATGGTAACCACTATGTTTTTTATGGATTCCGCTAAAGCTTTTTTTTCTAAACATTTTGACAGTCAAATGATTAATTTTGGTTAGCTAGGTTATTAACTATGATCTTCTAAAGTATGCATTAGTGACGATCAAAATTGGTCTTGGTCTTGAGGTCTCGCAAGACTCTTGGCTGCAAGACCAAGATTAGGCTTG